ACATTTGAACCTTGAACCCTCAAACTACATGGTGTGTGAACGCATGCGAACCTTGAACCCTCAAACTACATGGTGTGTGAACGCATGCGAACCTTGAACCCTCACACTCCATGGTGTGTGAACACATGTGAAAGTTGCTCATATTCTCTCTCAAATGTGTCTCGTTCCTTTGCTTAACATTTTTATGGTTAAGTATCTCCTAACTTATGTAAAGTGAGAATTACCACGAAAGTTACGTCAAACTTCGAGAATATAAAGTAAGTGAATTTGCTGAGCAAAATCACTGGAGAAAGTCTTTAGAGTTCTTCGAGGAACCTCGGTTCTGTTTTTTCAAATTGTTTTGTTAAGTCGAACTGGAGGAAAGAACCTGCGGGTAGGTTAGGTTAGGTTAGGTTAGGTTAGGTTAGGTTAGGTTAGGTTAGGTTTGGTTATGTTAGGTTAGGTTAGGTTAGGTTAGGTTAGGTTTGGTTAGGTTAGGTTAGGTTAGGTTAGGTTAGGTTAGGTTAGGTTAGGTTAGGTAAGGTAAGGAAAGGTAAGGTAAGTTTAGGTTATGTAATTTTTGGTTAGGTTAGGTTAAGTTAGGTTAGGATAGGTGCGGTGCGGTAAGGTAAGGTTAGGTTAGGTTAGGCTAGGTTAGGTTAGGTTAGGTATGGTAAGGTAACGTTAGGTTAGGTTAGGTTAGGTTAGGCTAGGTTAGGTTAGGCTAGGTTAGGTTAGGTTAGGTATGGTAAGGTAAGGTTAAGTTAGGTTAGGTTAGGTTAGGTTAGGTTAGGTTAGGTAAGGTTAGATTAGGTTAGATTAGGTTAGGTAAGGTAAGGTTAGGTTAGGTTAGGTTAGGTAAGGTTAGGTTTGGTTAGGTTAGGTTAGGTTAGGTCAGGTTAGGTTAGGTTAGGTTACGTAAGGTTAGGTTAGGTTAGGTTAGGTTAGGTTAGGTAAGGTTAGGTTAGGTTAGGTTAGGTTAGGTAAGGTTAGGTTAGGTTAGGTTAGGTTATGTTAGGTCAGGTTAGGTTAGGTTAGGTAAGGTTAGGTTAGGTTAGGTTAGGTTAGGTTAGGTAAGGTTAAGTTAGGTTAGGTTAGGTTAGGTTAGGTAAGGTTAGGTAAGGTTAGGGTAGGTTAGGTAAGGTTAGGTTAGGTAAGGTTAGGTAAGGTTAGGTTAGGTTAGGTTAGGTTAGGTTAGGTTAGGTTAGGTTAGGTTAGGTTAGGTTAGGTATGGTAAGGTTAGGTTAGGTTAGGTTAGGTTAGGTTAGGTTAGGTTAGGTAAGGTTAGGTTAGGTTAGATTAGGTTAGGTAAGGTAAGGTTAGGTTAGGTTAGGTAAGATTAGGTTAGGTTAGGTTAGGTTAGGTTAGGTCAGGGTAGGTTAGGTTAGGTTACGTAAGGTTAGGTTAGGTTAGGTTAGGTTAGGTAAGGTTAGGTTAGGTTAGGTTAGGTTAGGTTAGGTAAGGTTAGGTTAGGTTAGGTTAGGTTATGTTAGGTCAGGTTAGATTAGGTGAGGTTAGGTTAGGTTAGGTTAGGTTAGGTTAGGTTAGGTTAGGTAAGGTTAGGTTAGGTTAGGTTAGGTTAGGTAAGGTTAGGTAAGGTTAGGTTAGGTTAGGTAAGGTTAGGTTAGGTTAGGTAAGATTAGGTAAGGTTAGGTTAGGTTAGGTTAGGTCAGGTTAGGCTAGGTTAGGTAAGGTAAGGTAAGGTTATTTAAGGTTAGGTTAGGTTAGGTTAGGTTAGCTTAGGTTTGGTTAGGTAAGGCCATGTTAGGTAATTTTAGGTTTGGTTAGGTTAAGTTAGGTTAGGATAGGCTAGGTTAGGTTTAGTTACTTTAGGTAAGATAAGGTAAGGTTAAGTTAGGTAATTTTAGGTTAGGTAAGGTAAGGTTAGTTAATTTTAGGTTAGGTTAGGTTAGGTTAGGTTAGGTTAGGTTAGGTTGGGTTAGGTTAGGTTAGGTTGGGTTAGGTTAGGTTAGGTTAGGTTAGGTTAGGTTAGGTTAGGTTGGGTTAGGTTAGGTTAGGTTAGGTTAGTTTGGGTTAGGTTAGGTTAGGTTAGGTTAGGTTAGGTTAGGTTAGGTTGGGTTAGGTTAGGTTAGGTTAGGTTAGGTTAATGTGAAGTTTGGAGAAGAAGATCTCAAGGTAATTAATTTTAATAAAACGGACAAAATGCGATAATAAAAATAACGTAGTGAAGATTCCTGATGTTCACTCAAAATTTTGGGAATTATGGGACATCTTCGTTACTTATGACTTAGCTAAAATGATCAAGGATTATCCAGGGAGAGATGTGACTGAAAGTAATAAAGAGGAATTTATATTCCTTACAATAGCATCCAAATAATGAGGGAGTCACCTTATTACTCCGTTTCGGACTCTTGGTAAAGGGATAAACAAAATAAAAGGAAAATATAAAATTAACCTATTGCATTTTAATTAATTCTCCATGAAATATTTTTTCAATTCTAAATTTGATTATATTTTTCTTTAATTACAAAATGAATTCATAATTTAAAAGGTATATCATACATTCTTTACAGGTTTTTTCGCGATTCGTTTTAGTTAATTTTGAAGATGGTTATTTTTGTTAGGTAAGACACATATGCAACAGTTAGGTATCTTTATTATGAAACGTTTCGCCTACACAGTAGGCTTCTTCAGTCAAGTACAGAAAAGTTGATAGAAGTAGAAGATACTTGAAGACGATGTAATCAGTCCATCACCCTTAAAGTTTTGAGGTGGTCAGTCCCTCAGTCTGGAGAAGAGCATTGTTCCATAGTATGAAACAATATTGTTTCATACTATTGTTTCATACTATGGAACAATGCTCTTCTCCAGACTGAGGGACTGACCACCTCAAAACTTTAAGGGTGATGGACTGATTACATCGTCTTCAAGTATCTTCTGCTTCTATCAACTTTTCTGTACTTGACTGAAGAAGCCTACTGTGTAGGCGAAACGTTTCATAATAAAGATACCTAACTGTTGCATATGTGTCTTACCTAACAACCTGTCGGTATTTTATACCATTTTAATGTTCATGGTTATTTTTGTTTTAAACGCCAATACAAAATTAGAAAAATATATCATATTCAATCTAAGGTTTATAAATTTTGAAGCAGTGGCTATTTAACACTTCTCCTGAGCAAGAGAAATAAACATCAAGAGATCCTCTGAGATCAGTTCTGATCAGCATCAAGAGATCCTCTGAGATCAGTTCTGATCAGCATCAAGAGATCCTCTGAGATCAGTTCTGATCAGCATCAAGAGATCCTCTGAGATCAGTTCTGATCAGCATTAAGAGATCCTCTGAGATCAGTTCTGATCAGCATCAAGAGATCCTCTGAGATCAGTTCTGATCAGCATCAAGAGATCCTCTGAGATCAGTTCTGATCAGCATCAAGAGATCCTCTGAGATCAGTTCTGATCAGCATCAAGAGATCCTCTGAGATCAGTTCTGATCAGCATCAAGAGATCCTCTGAGATCAGTTCTGATCAGCATCAAGAGATCCTCTGAGATCAGTTCTGATCAGCATCAAGAGATCCTCTGAGATCAGTTCTGATCAGCATCAAGAGATCATCTGAGATCAGTTCTGATCAGCATCAAGAGATCCTCTGAGATCAGTTCTGATCAGCATCAAGAGATCCTCTGAGATCAGTTCTGATCAGCATCAAGAGATCCTCTGAGATCAGTTCTGATCTGCATCAAGAGATCCTCTGAGATCAGTTCTGATCAGCATCAAGAGATCCTCTGAGATCAGTTCTGATCAGCATCAAGAGATCCTCTGAGATCAGTTCTGATCAGCATCAAGAGATCCTCTGAGATCAGTTCTGATCAGCATTAAGAGATCCTCTGAGATCAGTTCTGATCAGCATCAAGAGATCCTCTGAGATCAGTTCTGATCAGCATCAAGAGATCCTCTGAGATCAGTTCTGATCAGCATCAAGAGATCCTCTGAGATCAGTTCTGATCAGCATCAAGAGATCCTCTGAGATCAGTTCTGATCAGCATCAAGAGATCCTCTGAGATCAGTTCTGATCAGCATCAAGAGATCCTCTGAGATCAGTTCTGATCAGCATCAAGAGATCCTCTGAGATCAGTTCTGATCAGCATCAAGAGATCCTCTGAGATCAGTTCTGATCAGCATCAAGAGATCCTCTGAGATCAGTTCTGATCAGCAAGATAAATATTGCCCATGTCATAACATTTATGTTTTTCTTGCAGCATCTGCAGTCGCATTTGGTACAGGGATATGTTACCATCCTGGGCTAAAGTGTCAAACATTCAATGAAATGCTATGAAATATCTCAGCACCTTGTCCAAATGGTCTCAAATTCCAGAGACGTTTAAAAATTATTAGATTTTCGTTGTCTATCTATTCCTGATAGTGAGGTACTACTTGAAGCTTGGTAATGATGTGCTTAGCTCAGTTTAGGAAGTCTTAATCCCAGCTTCACTGTATTTAAGTAACACTAAAACATTACTACTCAATGCCTTTCAGAGGCCTTTCAGTGGCTTTCAAATCAGCTGAACTGACATTCGCATCACCTGGACTGATCTATCGCATCATCTGTACTTCCCCCTCATCAGCCGTATCGTTCCTCATAAGTGAACTGAACCTCACATTAACTCGACTGACGTCTCACAAAATATGGATCAGCTACCTCATCAGGTGGACCGACCTTTTCATCTGCTGACACGGCCATAACCTCAGTGTAACCAACACTACCATCACCTAAACCAACACTGGCATGCAGCAGGTCTGCCACATGTCAGAACCACTGTTCGAATCCCAGTACATTCCTCAGTATATTCACTAACAGTCGTTCATTACAACTTACCTTGACTTTACTGACTATATACCTTTGAAGGCAACGGCGATATATGTATCAAGGAATATTATATAACACATCCATTGAGTACTCTCGTTTCAGTATAATAAATAAAAAGAAAAGAAATACAATATCATTAATAAATGTCTGAGTCATTCAACTGACTTCAAGTAACAGAAAAAATATAAACTTACCAACAACATGAAGGTAACCCATCTGTTTGCGTACTGGTTTGGTGTTGACCTGACACATGTAGATACCCTGGTCCTTCTTGGTGAGGCTGGTGATGGTTAGGACCCAGGCTTGTGCTTCCTGAGTGCTGGAGATTCTCGGGTTCTTAGTGATCACCTGAGTTGCCACCGTCAGTACAGTTCTGCCACCAGTGCCCTTGTAAATCCACGCTACCTGTAACACGCAAGCACACGCCGTCAGTACAGTTTTATCTCCAGTGCCCTTGTAAATCCGCGCTACCTGTAACACACACACACACACTAGGAAGGTAGTGAAGTTGCTCGAAGCCTTTCGTGCTGCAATTGCATCAGGAGCATACAATGAAAGGAATGAAATGTGAAAACTCAGTGAGGGAGTCCACAGAGATGAGTATGCCGCCGTCTCAGTCAGAAAGGAGAGCTCTGAACGGTACCAGCTATGCTCGGCTTTACTAGTCAACAACCAATTGTTATCGAATTTTTTTTAAGAGAAGTGGAAATAGACAGCCATACATTCAAAACTCACCAACGGTGCCATCACTTATATTTATATAACACACGTTACCTGACAGTATCCACCAACGGTGCCATCACTTATATTTATATAACACACGTTACCTGACAGTATCCACCAACGGTGGCATCACTTATGTTTATATATCACACGTTACCTGACAATATCCACCAACGGTGGCATCACTTATGTTCATATAACACACGTTACCTGACAATATCCACCAACGGTGCCATCACTCGTGTTTCGAGATAATTTAATAAAAGTAATTAATTCAACCTGCTGGGAATTCCATTTAATTTCAGAAATTTCTATAACACTTGTGTATGCATTAAAGCAACATCATCCTACGACTAATGACTCACAAAATCATACAAATCAATTAAATGTCATTAAAGCACGAATCAAAATTGTCATTTTTATAGACTTGAATAAAATTAAATTAAACCCTCGACCCGTTTGGAGGCCCAAGAGTGAGTTTAACCAGATATTCACAATCCATAGATTATCGTACATACCAGCATATGTGTAGTGAACCTGGGATAACCCAAAAAAGTCAAACAAAGTGACTTATTTCCATTGGGGTTCTTGTGCTAATTATTTCTATATTTAAAAGTTAGAAACGTGTAAGCATCTTCACACTAAAAGAAGATATACTAGGGGAGAGGTAAAATTAGTTATTGTCATAAAATAAATCACTCTCCTCCCTTTCTGTAGCCTTATTCATGAGGTACATTTTGGCTCAATTCTTGAACTGGCTCATGCTGTGAAAGGCTTTGATATGAGTAGCCTGACCATTGACTCTAGGTACTGCAAAGTTGTGCTTCCTTTCCCTAGTACAATAATTGCATTGGTTCCCGGCCAAAACAAAATTGGCAATAAGATATTGGGGACACTGGCTGTGAGCAATATTATGAAGGTAACTTAAGTTTAGTTGATTTACTCTGTCTTCAACATTCAGCACCATTAAGTAAGATTAAGTAAGCTAAGAGAGGTTCTGGGGTTCAATTAATTTCACCCAAGGCTCTAAAAATAATTTAGATTCGTGGCCTTAACGACATCTGAGTGATTGTACGGTATTTTGTTTTGATTCTCAAAATTGCTGTTAACATTTCTAAGTTTATTTTTATTGATGTAAATCTTGACAAAACTCATTGTATTAGAGTTACTGATGGACTGTATAATTTCAATACAAATTTGCCAAAGTGTTTCAGCACTAGATCTCGGTGAGCATTTTGCACTATGGTTTATTCAGAATGATGATTTAACCGTTGGTATTTTACCTTCAAAAATATACCAGACAATATTAAAGGCAAGACGCCAATGAGTAAGTTTTAGTCATTTTAGATTGATCTGCTAAATGTAATGGAAGATGAGAGAGCCGTGTGTGAGTTAAGTGTTTATTGATGATAAAATCATAACTTTCTTCATTTGTTATTTGTAAGGCGAACACTTTATATTCCCTCTAACTGTGGGTTTCAAGACTCATTTGCCATTGGTCCAAGCCCCACCCGTTCCCTGATTTGCTTGAAATCGTGTTTTTTACGATATCGTGAGTCATTTTAACATCTAATTTGCATGTTTTTCATATGTTTCTCTGACATAACATTGACCTCACTCCAATTAGCCACAAGCAAAGAAAAATCATAGCCAAAATTATCTCTATGAAAAGGAAGGAATATTAAATTAACCCTTTCAATTTCTTCCATGTAGATCTACATTATTGAAGCCAGTGTCGATTACGTAGATCTACGCATAAATTCTAGCTGCTCTAAATTTGTAGTAAGAGTAAGGTAAAGCACAAGAAAATGAGTCTCTGAAGTCAGTGTAATCATTATACAAAAAATCGGGGAGGCCACAGTGCATCTTAGGAACACCATCTTATTTTTCCAATGTCTACCATGCCTTGGCGAGGCATAGTAGACATTGGAATGTATTTTGCCCACTGACAGCTCCAGCAACAAGGACGTGGATTTCAATGAAGAATTCTTCAAGTTAAGTGATCAAAAGTGACAATCGAGATACTGAGATACCAGATCCCAGAGCTGTGTGTCCACAACACCTCCATACGGTCCGAGAAAGCTCATAATCTCTCGTGGTATGGAAACAGACGTGAGTAGTATAATTGACAGTGATATGGACTTTGATTTTCTATCAATTGATGATAAGATAAGTGATAGTCATGATAATTATCAATTTATACGACGCTGCATGTGGTCTGGTAGCGTCCCTCACTATTACTGTTACTGGACACCAGTGAGAGTAACAGTGAGGATGATGGTGCTTCCATGGGTATGGGTACTGGGCCGGGGGCATAGCCAGCGATGCATGCGGCAGTGGCTGCTGCAAACCACAGAGGGAGATGCCTAACAACCTCACTAACCTAATGCCCCCAGACCGCGTCCATCACCCGTACACAATCACAAGAAAGCGTTTGAGATTGGTGGGAGGATACACATTTTGTGCCCGATCCCCATCAGTTTGACGATGCACAGAGTGAAATCCATCTCATCTGTACCCTCGGGAATGAAGCCTCTGAACTTAATTTCTTTGAACACTATTTCGACGAACCCCTGATGCAGATAATAGTGACAGAAACCATTAAATACTTTCAATATATAATGGCAGACACTTTTGTTTCACCAAGATCACGGCTTTACAATTGTTAAGACACAACTATGGCAGAAATGTCTCTTCTTTGCCACAATCATGCTTATGTCACATGTGAATAAGTACAGTATTGCATTATATTGGTCGACTGACAGATTATATGTACCCTGGGCTTCAGTGATGTTATCCCCGTCAACAGATTCATCCGGCTGCTTGGTATGCTACATTTTTCAGACAAGACAATGTCCGACACAAGTGGCATGTTTGGCAAGATTAGGGGCCTCTTTATGTATCTCAGACATAAATTCATTGAGTTCTTTCTTCCCTCCCGATACTTTGTCATCGACGAGTCTCTGCTCCTGTTCAAAGGTACACTACGGTAGTCTACCTACTCTATCCTTGTAATATTTTACTAGCAAGATAAAACGCTTTGGTATCAAATCGTTTGTTTCGTGTGTCTGTGAAAGTAGCGAGGTATTGGATCTGACTGTACAACAAAGGAAGAAAATACTTAAAGATACCAAGACGTTATTAGGAATTTCCTCTGATGCTTTGAGAAAAATAATGGAGCCATTAGTAACGGGCCATTCATTATACACTGATAAGTGGAACACAAATATAGAACATGACATACGTGTGTGGTACACTGCGTGGAACGCGTAAACATGTCATAGCTCAGAGAAAGCATTGGTACCGGTGAAGTACAGGTGTTTAATGCCAATGACATCGGTGTCATGACAAACATTATGTGACATTGTTGACATGGATCCATCAGCGTGAAATGAAAGGCACAGGAAAGGTGAGAAGAGAAACCAATGAACCCATTGTGAGACCAGCTGTGTTATGGATTACTCGAATAACAAGAGTTTGGTGGAAAAGTGTGACATGCACGATGTGTTTGTTGATTTCGTGGACATTGTAATGCTGAATGCATACAATACATATCAGATGAAAACTGGCAACACGCCACTTTTATTTGTCTCTCATAATGCGCCACCGCACTTCATCTCTTTCTAATCACACTTCCTGCCACAAACAAGAAAAAATAGAGTCAGAAGAGATGTTACGTGTATGTACACTCACGAATAAGGAATGTGAAACAGAGCTGTGTATGGAGCCATACTTCAGGTACTTCCACAGACTGCAACAGTTCTAGGAACACGACCAGCGCCTCAATATGTGAACATATTTTACAACAGTAGAACGGCGAAGCATTTCGACATGTGTGTGTGTGTGTTTACGTTGCTGTGAATCATTGTTTTATAGACAATATAGTGTTGACACAGTTAGTGCAAGTATTGTGTTGTACACAAAGGCTAATATGAACATTGTGCGTGATATGGATGTCATAAGCCACATAAGTTACTGGAAAATGTAAAAAAATAATATTAAAATGGAGAAAAGTGAAAAAAACAAAAAACTAACGCAGAGCGGACGGCAATTTCCGATGTTGTCTTCACTGAGTCAACGACCTTCAACTTGACGCCTTCTCATCTTGGGAAAATTCTTTTGTTATCGGTTTCATTCAACACTATCAGCAGTTTGACTTTTGTTGTTGTTACATTGAAAGACTTAAAAATCAAGTTAACAGAGAGGCCTAGTCGAAGACTGAGCCGCGGGGACGTTGACCCCCGGAAAAAACTCCAGATAGACTCGTTGACCCTTGGAACACCCTCCAGATAGACTCGTTGACCCCTGAAACACCCTCCAGATAGACTCGTTGACCCCCGGCACACCCTCCAGATAGACTCGTTGACCCCCGTAACACCCTCCAGATAGACTAGTTGACCCCTGGAACACCCTCCAGATAGACTCGTTGGCCCCCGGAACACCCAGATAGACTCGTTGACCCCTGGAACACCCTGCAGATACACTCCAGGTAAGGATTCTCTTAGGAAAGTTACATCTTACTAGCCACCTTCTTGCTGCTAGAGGCAACAATCGGAGTGCTTTCGGATGAATCATTTCTTCACAAGTACGAGAAGGTATACAGATCGCAGCTGACTTACGGCTGCTGGAGCGAGACTCGTACATTAAGTGGGGTGGATATTTACAGAATACTAATAATTTTG